CACACACACACACACACACAAACACACACACACTTACCGAAATAGCACGAGCACTCTGGAAGGCAGAGCAGTGTTAGAATACAGTAAGTAACAGTGTACAGACGCACATGTATACTGTTTACACAACACACACGCTTAAACACAGATACACACTCACAGATACACGCACAGGATATTTTCTACAGAGCGAGCTAGCTTTCCGTAGTTTCTGGATACTTTACGATTATAGAGACATTTTTCGTTTCAAAGCAGCGTCATATTAAACTACACTAAACCTCAACTCTATTTTTCAGAGTTGAAGACTTAGCAATGTTCAAATGTATAGGTAACAGACCTGGGTCAGGCAGTGTTTGCTTTAATGAGTGCATACTGGTGCGCAGATACTAAATATGAAAAGCATCTAAGACAATACAGTACAATAAATCACAGCCATTGGATAACTGTACAACAATGTGAGGGTAAGGTGATAACCGTTAGCTAACGTTACATTTAATAAGTGCTTCCACAAAAACGTAAGTAAAAAGGTATAAGCTGATTTTTTATTATGTACACAATCCTGCTGTTTACTCCAACTGCTCAGACAGAAAAGCCTTATGAAGGAACCAACATACCAAAGTGAGAGCAACATGACGTGATGCAGTGAAATGCTGTGGACATGAATGTGTTGGTGTGTGTGTAACTGCAGCCAGAGGCTTCAAAGTAAGTACGTAGGTCCACAAGCGCTGTATGTGACATGTGCTGAAATGTTTGATTAACTGAGTTTCAATAATCCTTCTTTAAAGTAAAAAGCAGATTTATTGCGTTATTTAATTAGATCCTTACTGAACTATTGCAACACCTGCCTTGGCGTGACAGGTTTAGCTAACACACCTCCAACTGTGGAGTGCTGGAAAAGCTCTCTGTTGGAATGGATTTGTGTGCCACAGTTAAGTGAGGATACACAAACCTGATCTGCAGATGTATCGAATCTTTTTTATTTTTGTCAAAGTTTTGTCAGTTAAAAAAAGGCATGCCTTAAATGCGTGCACCCATCATCATACACGCCACAGCTTCACTTCAGTGACAGCGTGGGTAGCTGAGATCATGCTCTTCATCCTGTCAGTCATGGCCCAGTATAATGAACGGATGACCCACTTTATGTGTAACTTTCACGTCAACAACCGTGTGCTTTGTTTCCCTTTAAGTGTTGCAGACGCTGAGTTTTATTTATTTCGCAGCTGAAGAGTGACTCTGGCCACAGTTCACACGGGACAGACACACCAAGGATTCAATGGAAATGGAGCGGGGAGCAGTGACAGGGGAGGGGTTAAATATTCTCTACACACAGGTCTTCTAGATGTATATTAATATACATATCTAGGACACTGATCCAGCCTTCAGACCCAGTTTTACATTCTGCAGTGCTGCTCAGAGATGGAGCTTGGAGATGAGCAGTGATGGGTCAGCTGCTGGAGGAGTGAAGGGTGAAAGGGAGGCAGTGCTGGTTAGAGGATGGGTGGAAAAAGAGGAGGGAAGGGAAACGAGACAGAGGGAAGTGAATTTACAGCAGTCTCCTGTCCTGACATTGCATCCTAAGTGGCACGTCTCATTCAGAGACCCAGAGTTACCTGAAATGCTTTAAGAAATATGAAAAATTATTATTCGAACGAGAAGGTTTTAGATGATGTCAGACTCGTTCCTTTTTATTTGTTTTAGGATGCAGAGAGAAGCTTTTCCAATTCACTTCAGCTGTCAGGCATAATGTGAGAGAGTGAGGATGACAGTGAGTGATGGTGAGATGAAGGTGCTCACTTGGTTGTCTGCCGAGAGGCGGGGCATGGAGAGGGTCCGCCCATGCCCATCCATTGGGTGATAGGGCTCAGTGTCGGAGTACCCGTCCCGCCCCATCTCCCTCATCTCTACCGTCTGTAAAACACAATGAGAGGGGGCGTGACCACTGTCTGCTGAGGGGGAGACTCACTGACCAATCGAGCGAGGGGCATGACATGATGTTAATGAGTTACAAGGATAGGATTATTCATATGATATTAGTTTTCTTTTTTTTCAATTGCAGGACGAATAATAGGACAATTTATGCAACAAGCTGCATAAATTTAGTGTGGGGATGGATTAGGTCAGCTTATAAACTATAAAACCACATAACCATAATATATTTAGATCCAAAATCCAACAAGGAAATACTTCTTTGGAACCACTGGAAAACTATTTTAGTATCAAGCTGCCAACCCTCTGAAAACTGGAGCCTCTCAAGAGCTCAACAGCCAACTTACACAACTTGTAATTCACATTTCGTCTTTGTGCAGCCGTCATGGGATTCAGAAGGGAGACGAGGCACTGGGGAGTAGGAGCACCCCAACAGACAAGCGGAAGTAAAGGAATAGTGGGGAGGAAAAGGTGTAGGTCACAAAACACATCTGTAAACTTTAAGCCACTGACTCGAGAGGAGGTTGGAGAGGAAACAGGAAAACTCAAGGGAGAGGAAGATGGTCAGACTGAGAGAATAAGGCCGGGGGAACATGGACTAGGGGGAGGAAGATGGAGAAAGAGAATGAAAGGAGAAAAGTGGGCACATCTGGAAAAAGAAAAAGACTGCTGTTGTGCCTGCGGAGTAACAGCAGCAACATCGAAACGGCAGGAATGAAGGAGCTGATTAAGTGCAAAAGTCCAGGTCTGTAAAGGTGTCTTCCATGGCTTAGATGCCTATCCATCCACTTGTGTGCTTAGTAGGGGTGCAACGATATTCGTATCGATATTGAACCGTTCGATACAGTGCTTTCGGTTCGGTACGCATATGTATCGAACAATACAATT